TACATATATTATACAACAAAGAATAAAAAACAAGTCCTATAAGTGTCCATATAACTTTAATCTGCATGTAGAACTCTAGTTCTGGTAATTAAGTCTGTCAAATAACCATTTTGTTTCGTGGATAAAACAACTGCAGCCGGTTGTTTGAAGGCTGTTTAGCTTAAATTGTAGTTAAGTAAAATTATATACATTTCACACATTTTGAGGAGGATTCAATTGAAATATTATGCACTAAGTAATTGAAAACAATATGGTGTCACTGAAATTGAAATATTTTAGCTTGGTTTTTTTATGAATGTATAAATTTATTCAATATTTTCTAGATAAAATTATTACCATACTGCAGTTTTCCCACCAAATAAAATGACTGTGCAAGAAAAATAGCAAAAATATAACTAGGCTATTATACTAAATATATTTACATGTACAGAACATGTAAATAGTAGAAAATGGAATGTCATATAGTTACTGATGTCCAGATGCTTTCAACTTGGTTTTCTCAACTTGCACAATATTATTAATCTTTGGTGCCATAACTTGTCATATGTCTGCCTCTTTTCCCTCAAACCTTTTTGCACTATACTTTAGACACAGCTAGAAAAGGTAAAACTCATCAATAACTGAACCAAGATATGTATATAAGATATATTAACTTAGACCAGACATAATTACTAACAATTATACTGCTTACCATATATACTCTTAACTTTCTCTGGCTCTGGTTTTGCATCCTTTTCTTTGAATTAAGCTAGGCATTTGAAGCCTTTCCAGTGACGGAATGAGAGCAAAGTTGTTCTTGCATCCACGGCACTGCATAAACAAAACCTTTCACATTTAGTATTGCTTTAATAGAGCTCCATTTTGACCTTTGGTTAGTGTGATGCTTGGACAAAAGGAAATCTGTAAATTTTAACAGTAAACACACAATTAAACACTTGAGACCTAGCTTATATTTAATTCAATTTTAATGATATATAAAATTTATCTAGAGCTAGTGCAAATGTCTTGACAGAAATAATTTTTAGTTGGAATGGCTCTATATTATGGTGGTATAAATAAAAGGTGTAAATAAAATGTTCAAATAAAAAGTTTAATCTAAAGGTGAATAAAAATTTATGAGATTAATTATAATGGTATACAAGAACATATGTTGCCTATACAAACATATAGCATTTATAGCATATACAAAACACACTCACCACTGAATTCCAATACTTTAGATACACATGTTGTTGTAGATGGGTCAATGAACTTTTGATTATTTTTTAACTTTAGAAATTTCTCATTGCCATGGCCTTTCTTTCTCACGATCCTAGTCACCTTTCACGCATTTACAAAATTATCCATATCTTCTGATTCTTCTCGCATACTAAAGCGCGTTTCACCACCCTCCTATGATTCCTCTTTGACAAATTCAAAGAATGCGTATTTTATGTTAAAATACGAAAGAAAAACGCACTAAATTCTACCAGTATCAGTTATAAAACGTTGAATCAACGGATGACAAACTACAGACAAATACGCGCTCAAAATTTGAAAATAATGCGTGGCGGTTAAACAAGTCCCGCATAACCTTGCGGTCTTGTTTTGGCAAAACGCCCGCCATCTAACCTGCGAACGGGCATATTATGAAACAGATATGACTCATATGAGATATGTCATATGTGTGAAATATTCGTGAATTGTCTTTACAAAACGAATGATTTCTGCTGAGAATTTTAACTTTAAGACTTTAAAAGTATGTCGTCGAGAGAACCTTACAAAAAATGCGAATATAATTCTCGACCAATGAATAGTGTAGTAAAAATGTTATATTTTAAATTGCATAAAGGTCTCATTCTGTATAACATATATTCTATAGAATATTGTGTACAGCATATTCTATAGAATATATTATTGGATATTTAATGTGAATGTGCAATAGAATATTCTATAGCATCTCTAAATTCTATAGAATATTGTGTACAGCATGTTCTATAGAATATATTTTACTGTGAATGTGCAATAGAATATTCTATAGCATCTCTAAATTCTATAGAATATGGCAATGGAATATGCTATAGGATAAGAAGTCCTATAGAATATTCTATGGGTTTAGAATATGTTATAGCATATTCTATAGGATTCTATAGAACATTTTCGTAAGGGCAGTGTTGTTGACGTTTTCTGTTTCAACTAATATATCCAGAAAAATTAAAAATGACTATTCTACATGTGATATGCAATACAATACTCGATAGGAATTAGAGGGCCTTCCATGCATGATATTTCCAACCTTCAAATATATCTTCTAGAAATAAAAAATTTTCAGTGATATTTGTTTCAGTTGCCTGGTTGATAGAGGTAGTTGCTTTGTTACCAGAGGTACTTTCTTGGGCATCAGAGATACTTGCTTTGGTGGCGGAGATACTCGCTTGGGTTTCAGAGGTACTTGTTTGGTAATCATAGCAAAAAATTGCCTGCTTGTTAGGAGTTAACATAGTTTGGTTGCTATTCCAGTCCTGAGAATTAATTGTTGGGGGCTGTGTGGTCCTAAATATACAGGAGTAAGAAATTTGAAATGAAAATTTTTAATCAGTTGGTTCTATTTTATTGGTTGTCAGTTGATAACAGTACTGTTTTTACCACACTAAATTCATAATTACCCAGAGATTCATCTTCAGTATTCTCAATATCATTGGCAAGTACAAACATATAAATATAGCATTATAGCAACATTTATGTCATTATTGTCATTAGGTGTTTCTTATAGGCCCTATAGCATTGTAGTGTGGGGCCATCCTAAGTCCTATGTCACACAACATCATGAAGTCCTGGTTTTTGGGGTACTTTTTATATCCAACAACATGGGACTGATTTTTAGGGCCAAAAATATAACTTGACCTGATTTCATCATTTCTGTATGGATTTTGTCATAAAAGATCATAAGTGAGGGTGACAAGAATTAAAAGTTGAAAAAATTTAAAACTGATGTTAACATACATGATTGGAGAACTGTACTGTATATGCTTTAATTACATGCAAATCAGTTTGTTATAGGTAAATAATCCTCACTTTTAAATTAAGTCAGAGACCTTGCACAAGTACAAGTTGACTCGATTATAAGGCCTTCCAATTGCTTCCTTATATCTCTCAACTGTAAATGGCTGTGAAGTTCCTGGAATAGTGTTAACCAGACCAAAGTCTGGGTACATCAGAACACAATCAAAGTCACCAGAATCCCTCAGGTGTTTATTATGAGCCAACTGCTTGTCCATCCCTAAACTCTTCACTTTACAACTGGAATCATTTTCTTTTTTTAAAATCGAGAGGTAGAAGAGAACCTTTTTTGACTTTTAGCTGCCTTGCTACTCCACATTCTACCAACCCACTATTTATCTATATAATTACAATTTCATAATAATCATAGATTGCATCATGTAAACTGATATGACAACTGTATAAATGCTAAACCAAATGCTATCTACCAAAATAATATTAAGTTTACTATTACTGCTAAGTTGTACTGCCAAATTTATCAATGTCTTATAACTTTAGAAATATATGATGATAAGGGGGAACCCGTCATGTGTCAATCTCTAGTATAAGTGTGAAATAATAAACAAACCTTTACAATTTCTTCCTTCTTTTTTTTTAATGATTTCGTTCTTTCATCTGATTTTCTTTTTTTCATTTCGTTAAAGGTTTGTTGACGTTGTTCTTGGTCTTTAGTTTCTCTGCTTGATCCTCTCTTCAGAAATTCTTCAAAAGTTAAAGTTTTTAAGCCACCACTTGCATTATTTGACATTTCCTTGGGCTTTGTAAGATTTCCGTCTTTTAATGCTGAGCCACAGGAATTGCAAAAATTTTCATTGCTGTTAACACATAGGTTTCCGCACGATGGACAAAACATCTATATATATATATATATATATATATATGCAGTTAAAAATTAAATTTTTATAACTTTATTGACGCCTCATCATATTAATACAATGTAATATTAATTAATACAGTTTTGGTCAAATCAATTGGGAAGTACACAAAGCAGATAAAAATGTTTATATTTAAAAGAGATCATTCCCAAACTAAAACAAAAAAAACTTGCTTATATGCGCAAAACCTAATTCTAGTACAGTACATGATGGGGAATGTGTACCACCTATCATCCAATGTGAATTTATTATACAACTAATATACATATACATTTGCATAAAAATGAATGTTGTGATTTGTGCCAATTCTAAGTTGTGAACACTACGGTACGCTGCGCAAATATATTTCCAAAAAGTATAAAAATGGAAGGAAATGCCCATAAAAATAACTTTTAAAGGTTTTTTAAAATCAAAGCTTACCTTATTTGCAAATTTGATACAAGCCAGATTGGAAGAACCACGTGTTTGTCATGGCGCTAATACTTGCACTCAGCGAAAATAGGCTTCCTTTTACTGACAGGGTATGTCTGTACCAGTCTGTACTTCCTTTTTCTCCGCGTTCAAGTTGTTGGTTTTGCGTTAGTGTTTTGAGTTTGCGTTCGTGTTTTGAATTTGCGTTCGTTTTTTGAATTTGCGTTCGTGTTTTGAATTTGCGTTTCTGTTTTGAATTTGCGTTCGTGCTTTCATGATTTGCGTTTATGTTTTTTGAATTTCGTTTGTGTTTTGAATTTGCGTTTGTGTTTTGCACCTCTGGGCCACCGTACTAATGTCTAGAAAAATGGACTAAAATTTATTCAAAGTACCAATATTTTATACCTCATATAGTAGAGATAACGTTCCTAATATGTTACAAAGCACATTTAGTACTTTAATTCGGATGGCCGTCCTCTCTTCACATCTAAAAAAAATTCCCATTAGCATAAGACTGAGGCTACATAAAAATACATCACGAACTTAAACAAAAATCAAAATACCAAAATATTACATTATTACAAAATTTTGTCCTCAAAGAAAGTCATAAAATTGTTAGCTAGATTCTGATCAGATTGGCACACAGGATATTAAGAATCAGGGGTATGATGTAGAAACTTTCCAATGGTTTTAAATAATTGCCTTTGGTCACTCCCATTATCTCTAACAATTTCAGAATAGTAACGAGTACGACTTTCCGATAATAGCTCACTGACACGGCGACATGGCTGACTGTCTTTTAGACGATCACAGGATTGTTTTGACTTACGCCATACCCGCTCGAGTTTCCTTCTGATACGTTTTTCGTTTTTAATTTGTTCAGTGTACCAAGGTGCAGCTGGATGACTAATTATCTCTCTGGTGATAAGTGGTGCATGATGATCCAGAGTTCTGGACAGCTCTGAGTTGTATTGGTTGACTTTTGCACTAATATCAGCCGTGTTCCCAGTGATAATCGGAGATAGCCTAATGTCATTAAAGAATGAGTCCATATTGATTTGTTTAATTTTACGCGACTCCACGACCCTTCTCTGAAACAATGTTTTTTTAAAATTGAGTTCACATGTACCGTGTAATGGTCAGATATAGATGGATCATGAACGTCAATAGATTGAACAATATTTCCCTCATGGCAAGACAAGATAAGGTCTAACGTGTGACCAGCAATGTGTGTTGGTTGTTGTACATGTTGTTCGAGATTAAAAGAATCAACAAGATTGAGAATTTTTTGTTGTGTTATATCCGACTTATCGTCTACATGGAGGTCAATATAATACGATTATATTTAGTATTTGAGGTAACACATTGATTTGCATACCCATCAGTTCGAAAGACTTAATGTGTGTGAACATGTTCGCCGAGTCCAGAGCTTGACTTTTAAAGTGTTATTGTATAATATACCAATGCCTCCCCATCTACCTTGTTGTCTCGAGATATGTTTAAAGAGTAGCCCTTCGGGGTGAAATTTCCAATAGATATAAGATCAAATTTGTCAGGGTAAAGCCAGGTTTTTGTAATCGCAAATATATCAAATTCATTCTCAACCACATAGTCTTTGACTAAATTGGCTTTGTTTCGAATAAACCGGCAGTTGAGAAGACCAAAAGAACAAAGCTGAGTAACAGCTGTATCAGGAGTGTTGGCAATTTTGAATGTAAAGGAATATTGATGAGATTGTTTCTCTTAATTAATATCATTTCTGCCATATATGTTTACAGGCTGATGATTTGCATGATGATAGTGATTGTATAGTGTCGCGGAGGTGTTTGCCAAGTAGGTATTATAGAAATATTCCTATAGGTCATATGGAACAACCAACCTTTCTGTAGATTCAACTGCCCAAGCATGGAACTAAGCTCCTCAGGATTTTAGCGGGTCGAAACGTGTTCATCAAACGTGACTGCTTTCGATGTTGAGACATCTTATCCGACTGATTATTATCAAAGATTGAGGACCAGGATTAGACTAAACATCCACACACATTGATAGATCCTTCTTAAAAGGCTTCGCAAAGGGACTAGACTAACAAATCAATGTTTCGTTTCTTTAGCAATCGCAAATGAGACTTTGTATTTAGATTCAAAACCAACTCGTTGTATGTTGACCCGACATCGAAAAGCAATATCTCTACAAATACTCAGGTTATGCCATCCGCAGCCATTCCGTCCAAATCCATGAAATTAGCATTCTTAAATGCCATATTAATTGGTCGAGATGTACAAAACTCGTTAGATAAAAAGTATCTTAAAAAAATATATAGAGCTACCGACCAACCGCCATATTGATCGTGAATTAAGCAGTATGGAAACACAATATTCATTTCCATACACGAAAAGGTGGTGATTCAATGATAACATCTCGTTACCAGCTTTAGATATTTTCTTTAAAAACTTGTTTAACGATTCGGATAGAAGCGAACGGAACGAGAAGAAGAGTTGTGAATCATTGTAAGTGTGTTTATTTCTATTTAAACCCGACAACTTTACTTGTTCAGGGAAAGGCATGTTAGAGTTGTTTGCTAGTAAAACTATGTACACACCTTGGTTGTGGTGGACAAAATATTGAATCATTGGTTTTTTTATTTGTAGATCACTAGCTGCCTGTGAAGGAACACACAAAATTTTATTAGAATGCTTCAAAAACAGCTGGATTGAAGGTTTTCAAACTTAAATGATCTCCCCATTGGCAAATCAATTGTTCGAATCTTACCATAACCGTGTTTCATTATAAATTCGTGAAATAGATAAAGTAAATTAAATGAACATGGCCGTTCAGCACAATAACTTGTACTCAATTGGCGAAGACAATGGTCCCAAAGTGGTAAATCGATGGTTCGAATCCTACCATAGCCGTTTTTCATTATAAATTTCGTGAAAAGAAATGCAGTAAACTAAGTAAACCATGGCCATTCCCCACAAGATCTTGTAGGCCAGTAGCTAAGACAACTGTCTCCCAAGTGGTAAATCGATGGTTCAAAACCTGCTATGCCCTTTTTCATTATGAACTTCGTGAAAGGATAAAGTAAACTAAATAACCAAGACCATCCAGCACAAGACCTGGTGCTCTAGTGGCAAAGACGATGGTCTCCCAAGTGTTAAATCGATGGTTCGAATCCTACCATAACCGTTTTTCATTATGAACTTCGTGAAAAGGATAAATAAATTAAATAACCATAACCGTTCAGCACAAGATCTTGCAGTCTAGTGGCGAGGACCCAAGTGTTAAATCGATGGTTCGAATCCTACCGTAACAGTTTTTCATTATGAACTTTGTAAAAAAAAAATAAATTAAGATAACCATAACCGTTCAGCGCAAGATCTTGTAGTCTAATGGCGAAGACAATCGTCTTCTAAGTAGTAAATCGATGGTGCGAATCCTGCCATGACCTTTTTTTTTATGAACTTCGTGAAAAGAATAAAGTAAATTAAATAACCATCGCCGCTCAGCACAAGACCTTGCAGTCTAATAGCTAAGACAACTGTCTCTTAAGTGGTAAATCGATGTTTCGAATCTTGCCAAAACTATTTTTTATTATAAACTTCGTGAAAGGATAAAGTAAACTAAATAACCATGGTCATCCAGCACAAGACCATGTGCTCTAGTGACGAAGACGATGTCTCTCAAGTGTTAAAATCGATGGTTCGAATCCTACCATAACCGTTTTCATTATGAACTTCGTGAAAAGAATAAAGTAAATTAAGTAAGTATAACTGTTCAGCACAAGAACTTGCAGTCTAGTGGCGAGGACGATGGTCTCCCAAGTGGTAAATTGATTGTTCGAATCCTACCATAACCGTTTTTCATAATGAACTTCGTGAAAGGATAAAGTAAACAAAATAACCAAGACCATCCAGCACAAGACCTTGTGCTCTAATGGCGAAGACGATGGTCTCCCAAGTGTTAAATCGATGGTTCGAATCCTACCGTAACCGTTTTTCTTGATGAACTTCGTGAAAAGGATAAATAAATTAAATAACCATAACCATTCAGTACAAGATCTTGCAGTCTAGTGGCGAAGAAAGCGATTCAAGCATTGTCAGATAAGTTTGAACACATGACTGCTGTTATATCACAAGTTCGGGATCTTATGGGTAAAAACGATGATAGCATTATACGAGAAACATCGCTTCTAGCTGCTGAATATACAAAGTTCCATGTAGAACATTCAAATGAAGTGTTTGTTAGTGATGTAAATGAAGTAGATAGCGATAGTAAGGCTACAAATAGAAAACAATTAGCGAGCACTGAGCCATCGAAATCGCTAGGAATTGTGATTACGAGCAACAATGAGAATACCAACTGGTTGAGTGAAAATCCCGCTAGTTCGAACCAAGACCAGGCCTTAAGTCCCGAAAATAACAAAGATATTGTAATTATTGACAGTCCAGTTGAGACCAATAAACAAGCTGAAAATGACAAGTTAACGTATGCTAAAGCTGCCGGATCAAAGCCGGTCTTAATCCCACAAATAGAAATGCTCTAAAACCACAACACATTTTACCACTAAGCATAACAATAGTAGGATTAGTGCTGATGGTTTTGTAGGAGTAGAGCGTAGGCGAAACCAAACAAAGAGAATATTCCATCTGGAATTGCAAGCAGCGTGAATGAAAAACATATCCAATCGTACCTCACGCAGCGAAATATAAATCCAACATTATTTCGGTCTTTCCCAGTAAACGTGAGGGAACGGTATCGGCCAAGGTACACATCCCCCCGCTGATTTCCCTCTTCTACAGCAAAAAGATTTCTGGCCCAAATTTGTGAGTTGCCAATTATGGAAATCTAAAGAAGCTTTGCGAAAACCAATAAAGCAAAAGCTGTAAACCAAAAGCAAACACCCCAAGGTGAAAACTCCTCAACTTCTGAATAATGGCTCAGATTTCAATTCGAATTTCTCCTAGCAATCGCGTAAATAAACGAAACAGACGCTGTCCTTATTCGAATCCTTCAAATTTGATTCATATTAAGAGATTGCCTGAACATTCCCTTTTGGTTAATACACGAAAGCAAGAATTTGTCCCGTCATTATTGTTGTCCAACACAATGTCGCTCGCTCCTAAACTTGATGAAATTGTGGAAACCATATTGACGTTAGACATTGACATTGCTATGTTTACAGAGACATGGTTAAAGGAATCAATACCAAATGAAGCAGTTAATATTCCTAATTATCAATTGTTGCGACGAGACCGAGTTCATAAATTACATGAAGGTGTCGGTCTATACGTGAAGTCATCAATATTTTGTCGACAATTATTAGATATGCAAAGCAAAAATGTGGAAGTGTTGTGGGCTCTGGCTACGTCCTTCTCGCTTACCTAGAGGGTTTCATCAACTTATAGTAGGTGCAACCTCGCAAGCCAGGCTCTTTTACC